CTCGAGAGGGTCTTTGTGCTGCGCACCCGCCAGACCGCCCTGGGAGGCGGCAGCTTTCGTTCCCGGCGGGGGCCAGAGGCGTTCAGACTCTAGTTCCACCTCAGCCCCTTCCCCAGACTGTCCCCAGGTCCAAGGACAGGTCAGGACTTCCTTTTTGTGTCCTCTGCAGGCCGCAGCGGTGGCCTCGTCAGTGCCCCAAAAGGTAGCAGAAGCGGGAGAGGGACCCTTGTACCAGCTCCCTAGAGCTCAGCTGACCAGACCCACTTTCCCACTTGGCCTTTGCAGAGGTGGTGGAGGAGGGGAATGGGATTTGTGGGGCAGCACTGTGAACAATAGAGCCATCAAAAGGCCTTCTCCTCAAATGTCAGGAATACTCCTCGCCCAGCAAGCCCTCCTGGCCGGGTTTTAAGGCCTGCTATCCAGATAAAAACACATTGTCTGTTCCAGAGCTCTCCATAAATCCCTCTTTAAATTAGGGTCTTCTCCTCTGGCTCTCACGTTAAAACCCTACTTCTTTTGTGATTTTCCTGATATTATTCTTCCATAAAAATTATCCAGATTAGCCATAGGAACCAGTCAAGACATCTTGCCACATAATGTAGGACAAGAAGACTCATGAAAATAGCTTATACCTCACAGATCTCCAGGGGACCCTTCACCTGCCTCTGCTACTGCAAATGATTGGACACCCATCTACCTTGGCTGTTCCCTCGTGTGTGGAAATCTTTTGTGCACTGTGTTTCATGCTGGACCTGGTCTGAAAATGGGCCCTTGTATTGTCTTTCTACTTTCTAACTTGCCAAAGTGGGTGTGAGACCTGAGGGAAGTATTCAGGAATGGGCTTTAGGCCAGGTACATAAATCCATTTGACACCAACCTTGGACCCCAAAGATAAGGGCATTTGTAGCTGGAGTAGAAAACAAAGGCATGCTGAGAACTAACATTTCATCCTCTGTGATGATCCTTTCCATTCACCATCCTTTCTCTCCAGCACCACCAATGCCGTAGGTTCAGAGGACTCACCTATGCAGTGTTTTTTTCTCTCCGTCCAGTCATTTTGCAAGCTAGATCTGAGAGCCAGACCTCACAGCTGGTAAAGGCTTGGCTGGTGACAGCCCAGTCTCAGCTTCTTGTGCCCAAAGTGTCTAGGAATAAGCAGGCCTGCTCCCCGAGCCTTAAGGACCTACCCTCTCTGGGAAGTTGCAGTGCCCTGAAGTGGTCAGGCCACAGGCCTATGCAGACTGGGCCTTCTGCCTCTTCTTGCCTTCACAAAATTCTGTTCTTCCTATTCTTTTCTTTCAGTTTCTGAAAAAAGGACCTAAGTAATGCCAAGAACTCCCAGATGAAGAGGACCTTCCTAGACCTGTTACTGGAATTAACCACTTCTTGACATGAGAAGGAAGTTTCAGCTAATTCTCAGGATAAAATCAAAATGGGCCTGTGACAGTCCCTTGAATACTGAAGGTGTAAACAAGCTTCTGGCTCCCCCAGGTCAAGCACAGGAACACTTCTTACTGGAATGAAGGGCTCCTTCTTTGTTATTCAATCATACACCCACGCACATCCTCTTCAGCCTCCCTAATGAAAATCCTCAACAGATGGAGAGCCTGAGCTCCCAATCCTCCTAGCTGAGAAGATGCACTTCACTCAAGGGCCAGGGGGCTGGTACAGACTGGGGAAAGGAAAAGGGACAAGCCGCTAGTATAGGTAATCACTATCTTTTAATACTCCTTATAAATAGAAATTTGAAAAACCTTGTTCAGCAAGGTTAGCAGCCTCTGGGGCCTTGGAAACCAATTTGGCTGATGTGTCTCTGATAGGGACTAGGCTTGGGGCTGCACCAAGGGGAATGTACTTGCTCTATATTCTCTCCTTCTCTCTCATTTGAAAGCCTGTACAAAGAGATGGTACAAATGGATGGTTAACTTAATGATTCCATCAGAGGCGGATTTTTCTCTGTCAGGTTCCTGGATGAGGCTGAGGTCTGAAAGTGAAGAGGCAGAATATGTACTGAATTGCCCTTTCTTACCTCCTCACCAGTGGCCAGGACTACTCTCCAGGCCTCTCCTCTGCCACCTCCCCACATCCCCTGTGACTAGCTCAATTGGGTCTCAGCACTTCACTCTAGGCTGGGTCCTGAGTTTTTCCTGGATGCAAAGAAAGCTCTTCCTCTGCCTAAATCTCTTTCCTATCCCCTACCTCTCATTTTGCAACAGGCCATTCTGGCTGCCTCAATGCTTTCCTGCCTTAATTCATACTTGATTGCCTGCACAGAACAACCAGGAATGCCCAGACGACTGCCACCCTTCACACAGGGGTCTGGGCTCCGGGCCCTGACCTCTTTCTTAAACCTCAGGAGGCCCCACAACCTCCCTGATCCTCACCTCTCCCAAAGCGGTCTCTTTAGGGAAAAAGCAGAGCTGGCCAAGACCTGAGCCAAAAAGCCATTTCTTTTCCTTGGGCAAACGAATTAGACCTCCCAGAGACCAATGCCCGGAGCGAGGCCTTGGCCCCGCGCTGCCTTTGGATGGCTTCTCCCGCCGCGGAACCCGTGGCGCCTCGCATACAATGGCGCGGCTGCTCTGGGCAGACCAGGCTGCTCCAGGACACTCTCAACCCAGCTCCTGGTGGCAAGGCTTCGAGCAGCCTCGAGGCCTTGGTGTGCTTGCCCACTGCCTCCCCTCCCAGCGCCCATAAGGGGAGAGACACCGGCTAGGGTGGAGTTTGCCTTCCCCCACCAAGTTCCCCCTTCCCGATGCGGGTCCTCCCGGAGAGGAAAGGCCTGGGTCCTGGGCACTATGGCTGGGCCGGCCTCCCCTCCCCCATTCTCTTCTTTCTCGGCTTCTCTGAAGCCTGAGAGGGAGGAGGCAGGCGCCTCCGCCCATAGAGCAGCTATTGTGACCTTCCCCCGAAGAGCGGGAACCCAGCCGAGTGTACCGCCGGCGGTGGCGGGGGAGGAGGCGACTGTGTGAGCAAACCTCGGGTGGAGAGGCGGTGGCACCGGGAAATGAATAAAGGTTTGCAACCTCGGGCAGTTGGGCCCTTCAGAGGGCGTTTGGTTGTGTTTAGACTCGGGTGCTTCCTAACACTAATTGCAGGCTCAAGAGGAGCGGAATTTATGGCGAAGGCCAAGGCGGCTTGTTTATAATTTATGAAGTTTTAAATGGCTGTGCCGCGGGCCCCAGCACTCGCCCGGGCGGGCAGCCGCGCGGGATCGCTCCCTCCCACGACTTGCCACCACCCCCACCTGCACCAGGAGGGACGGAGTGTGCCCATCAGATGACTCTCATGCCAATGGCAGGAACGGATCCGAGCCATTCTGAGGAGTCTTAGGAACCTCCAGAGGTGGGAGAGAGCCGCAGATTTGGTCCAAGCCCTCACCCCATTCCAGAGGAGGGCCTGGGGAGGTTGTGGCCGCCTGGAGAGGGAGCCCCCAACCCCGCACTTCCTTGGAGCCTGAATGCGAGAGGAAGCTGATGTCAACCGGGCTAGACACCGTTTAAAGTCTAATCCACGAAACCCTAAGCCGCAAATGACACTTGGGGTTTTGCAGACACCCGCAGACTCAGCAGATACTCCTGCGGTAACACACCGCGCTGGAAAACGCCTGAAGCCATGATGCATTATGTATTTTTATTATTATTTATGGTAGGAAGAAGAGATGAGGGAAAAACCGGGCTGAATCTAAGCAGCCTGACAATTCATCTATTTAATATTTAGCCAGTTAAGAAAGGTAGTTGTAATCCCTGCAAGGCAGCGAGCTCTTCTTTGATTTTCCTAGTAGCTTAAAAAATAATTTCTTACAAGACAATTAGAAATTTTGCCTATGGATGCGAATTTTATAGAAAACAATGTTAAGCCTTGAAAGTGGGTAAAATATGCCTTCGATTGAAGTCATTTATTCTGTTGATACACTTCTACAACATATATGCTTTAAATCTGCTCAGATAAAGTGAAATTTAGCAAAAGGATATCCCCTCCCGCCCCCAATCTAACATGCCATTTAAAAAACAGCACAAAGGAACAACGAAACTAAATATTATTTTGAGCCATCATTACTTAGCGAAACACAAATATCCAAATAGAAACGATTGTTGTTTCACCAGAAGATCAGAAGTTAAATTATTTCCACACAATAGGAATTTCACCTCGTGTCACCGGGTATGTAGTAGGAGTTGCAGTATTTGTCAAACCAAATAGAGATGCGTGGGCTGACTTTGCTGAAATACAAAAGAATTGAACCTTATCTGAAGGCGTTTGTCTAAGTGGTCCCTTCCAAAGAAGCCGGTAAGTTGTCCGCCCCTAGCTGAAGCCACGATAATATTTACAAAATGGTTATAAAATCTTGAAGACATTTTTGCCCGTTTTGTACAAAGAAACAGGAGTAAACAAGGTGTTTACACTTGTTATGTTCCATTAATGAAACTTTTATTTCTTTACATCTTGGGGAAGATTTGTTTTCTTTAGAAATGAACTAATGACCACTACAAAGGAAGAATTTATGACAGCATTTCCTAGAGAAAAAGCTTAGGTGTGTATCTCCAAATAATGATTTCTTTTTTGGCACCTTAGCTTTTTCATAGCTCAGTTCTTCCTATGACTTCTCTTATGTCTTTTCTTTGATTGTCAGTTTTCTTTTAAAGTTTTTTTTTATTACTTAATGCAGAAAAGTGATCTCTGGCCTCCCCAATGTAAAAGTCACGATTGTGTCTGGAAAGAGGGCGTTAGGAAACATCAAAGCAGGCACTGCTTTCAAAAAGCTCTATCCAAGTCATCCTGCCCAGAACCTTTCTAGGTTTGCACCCTCATTTTTTCTCCTAATTTCAACAGCTGGAAAGTAATAAAGTATCTCCAGAATCAATCTGTGAACTAGATCCCAAAGAAATAAAATAATTTTTCAAAGGGTCAGTCTATTACCGGGCCTTCCATAGGGATTGTGCAAAAGGTAAAGGCATAATGATCTGCTTGCAATTGTGCGTGATTAACACAAATACACTTCCGACTGAGAAATTTTTTTATTCTAAATATTTGTTCAAATAGTATCAGACAATTTGAAATCAATAAACTGTGTCGAGTGGCGAGGACTATAGCTGTTGAGAAAACTGACTAATGTGTGTCTTGCAACGCCACCGAGTTTCCTGACTCTCTACCCATGAAGGACAATTTTCGGTCTTAATCCTTTACATCAACTACAAACACCAGCCACGGTTACAACTGTTCAAAACTACTCTTCTCAACTAGTTCAGACCAAGGGGACTAAAGAGGTGAAATGTGGCCCCAAGGCCTAGAAGCGCGTTCCTATACTCGGCTGGAGAAATCTACAAATATACACATAAATACATTCAGACAAGGATAAATAATCAGAGAAACGAAATGATTCGCTTCAAATAAATACAGAGAGTTTAGTCCGATGCGATCCTTACGGGACGCCAAGGAGCATATAAATTAAGGTCTCCGAAACTAAGCTAGACGCGGGCCAGGACCAGGGCTCTCAGGGCTCTGATCCCTCTGCAGGGCACACCACCGATGGGTCTCAGACTTACCTTTGGGACACCATTACCAGATTAGAGTCCCTCGGTCCGCAGTACGTGGCACTGTCAGGCTTACAGGGGAGGATCCTTGCGGCTGATTTATGGCGAGTCACCCAAAGGAGGACGCGCATGGAGGGGAGGCCTGGTCGCCTGCGCCTCTGCCGCTGGAGGCCTGAGACCCCGGAGCAGCGGCAGGGCCAGAGCGAGGGAGGGGGTCCCCAGCTGCCCCGCGGGCGCCGCCCGCCACCCCCACCACCAAAGCAGGAGAGGTAATTGCGCCGCGAGTTCGGACCAGCGGCGGCCGCTACAGATGCGTCAGTTTGGGGGCCTCGGACAGGCGTCCCTGAGACGGGTGGTGGGCTGAGAGATCTGTGTAGGTGGGATGAGGGTCGCACGGTCCATGGTGGTGGTTGCCAGGAATCTGCGCGGCGCAACTGTAGTCCACGCTGGCCGACGACGGGTGCGAGAGGTGGCCCAGGTTGAAGACAGGCCCGGACGCGGGCGCCATGGAGTCGACGAAGTTGCCGCCCACGTACACCGGACTGCCCTGCAGGTTGGCGCTGGCGAAGCCGCCGCCGTTGCTCGCCATGGGGTGGGGCTCGAACTCCGGCGCCGCATAGCGCTTCTGCTGTGGCAGGCAGCTGCTGAGCGGCGCCGTGTAGGCGGCCAGGCCGTACATGTTGGGCTGCGATTTGGCGAAAGCGGGCGGCGAGGGCGCGTCGTAGGCCAGGCCGGGCACTGGCGGCAGCTGGCCCGAGTAGGCCACGTGGCCGGCGGCGCCGCCGAGCGGAGGGCTGCGCTCAGGGGACTGGCCAGCCGGCGAGTGCAGGATGCCCTTGGCCTTCTGGTCCTTTTTGTACTTCATGCGCCGGTTCTGGAACCAGATCTTGATCTGGCGTTCGGTGAGATTCAGCAGGTTGGCCATCTCCACACGGCGCGGCCGGCACAAGTAGCGGTTGAAGTGGAATTCTTTTTCCAACTCCACCAGCTGCGCACTCGTGTACGCGGTGCGTACCCGTTTGGATGCTGGGCCCGGCGGGCTCTTGTCCTCGCAGCTCTCTCCTGGGCAGGGAGGGAGAGAGAGGGGCCGCTGAGCGAGGGGGAAGAGAGGTGCTTTCCTGGTTCCTTTTTCCTCCTCCCTTTCCCCCACCTCCATCCAATCCAGGCTAAAGCGGGGAGGAGGCGTTTGAGAGGTACGATTCCGAGGGGGACTCACCTCCTCCTCAGGCCTACCTGTCAGTCGCACCTGAAACCTCCATCTGCTTTCTGAGATCCGATTCACTGTGCCCACCCTCTCCCCTCCAGCCTAGCCCATCGTCTCATCTCCACCAAAGGCCATGAAGGAGTTTAATGAGAGACTAGGAGCAGCTGGTAAGGCCCACCCCACCCCTCCGTCAAAGAAGGGCCAGACTTCTTTGAACACTCCTCCCAGCCTCTGCTGGGGGTGGGGAGCAAGGAGGAGGAAGCAGCTCCATCCTGCCTTGCTTAGGGACTGGCTCCTAGACAAAGCACCCCCCAGGGAACAAAGAATGAAGGTGGGGATCTTGGTACCTCACTCCAGCCCAGCAGTACCCAAAGGCAGGGGGGTGATAAACCAAAAAAATACTGCCCTGGATTTTTAGGGGGTCCAAGGCCAGGCTAAAAGCATTTTGAGTATTGCAGTGCTGGGAGCAGCAGCCTCGGCCACCTCTCAGCTGCTTGTCCACTCCCTTCCTGGGAAGACAAATGGATTTCTCCAGGGAGGGAGGGCCTGAGCCTGCAGCTGAAGAGGGAGGGGCAGGAAAAGGAGCTGCAGGCAGGATGATACCTTCCCTTTAGGAGCAGCAGCCCCAGAGACCATCAGGCAAACCAGAGACCTGATACAAGCCACACCCCAGGCCTCAGACTAGCCTTGGACCTGGAAGCAAGTTCATCTACCTGAAGATAAACCACATCAGAGAACACAAGGCCAGAAAATTTCAGGAATGAAGCAGTCTGACCAGAGAGAAGGAGGAGGCTTCAGAGCTCCTGGCCATGCCTGTCTCCTTCCATACACAGTAGACCTAGAGAAGACCTTCTCAACTCTAGGGTACCCCTTCTAAGGAGAAAAATCCAAAACTGCTCTTGTCTCTCAGAACATCCTCTCCCCTTAGGATATACACCTCCCCATTGCAGATTTGCTGGAATGGGGAGACATGGGCTGGGGTAGGTCAAGTGGAATCTCATGGTTGTGCCTTGCAGGGCCTGGAATCAAATTGGTTGGATTCAAATCTACCACTTTGCAGTTTCATGATCTTGGGCGAGTTGCTTATCATTTCTAAAGTTTCCTTATTTGTAAAATGAGAATGTTATACCTACCTCAAAAGATTCTTTGGAAAATTAAGTTAGTTAATGCTTATAAAGTACTTGGCATGCTTCTTGACATATTGCTCCTTAGACTTGACTTACTAATTTGAAGGAATGGGATTCATGTGGTACAGACTATGTAACCAGCTAGGCTTGGGGATTATAACACCTGTCTTCAAATTTTGAAAAGCTGTTGGGTGGAAAATGGAGCTAAGTTATGACTAGCAGCCCCGGAAAACAGATGTCAGTTTAAGGAAGAGCTCTATATTAATAACTGTGAGACCTCTCCAGCAATGGCACCAGCTGCCTGGAATGGAAGTGAGCACCCTGTCACTGCAAGGGCATGACCCCAATCAGGGACACTAAAAAGGAAGGACATTTCAGCATGAGCAGGAGTATAGAGATTTGGCTTCCAAGGTTGCACTCCCAGCCATGACTGGGGCTTCCTGGAGTCAGTCTGAAGGGGCCTTGGTCCAGGGTGAGCCATCTCAGAGAGCTACCTGCAGTGGCACAGCTGTTCTTCTGCTTGGAGTTCTGTCGGGACTCTTTCATCCAGGGGAAGATCTGCTTGCTGATGGTGGCTGAGGAGCTAGAAGCATTGGGTCCCCCTTTGGGCTTCTTGGCAGGCACTCCACCTCCAGGATTGGTGGGTGAAGATGGGGGCAGGGTCGGTGGTGGAGGAGGGGGTTGTGGTGGCTGTTGCTCTGAGTTCAGACCAGGAGGCTGGCTGCCACCACCCCCACCTTGGCTGTTCCCAGTGCCAGGCCGCATACAGCTACCATTCAGTTCAGCTCCCTTGTGCGCCTGGGCTCGAAGAGGTGCAGAGCTCTGGATGGAGCAGGCAGAACCTGGGTAATCAGTGTCCAGGGAGTTGGCAGCAGCAGGGGGTGGGTAGGGCTGATGAGGGTTGCTGTAGCCATAAGTGTCAGTGGCTTTGCTGTAGCCATAGCCTCCGAACAGTCCTGGGTTTTCATAGTAAGCAGCCTTCTGCATTGTGCACACAGGAAGCTCCAGGGCCTGCTGACCCTGCTCAAATAACATTGACTACCACTGTCTCCTTCACTGCCACCTCCAATGTCTTCAGAATCCTGAGAGAGCTGGGCCAGCCTCCAGGCTCCAGGTCACCTGCTGAGAAGAAAAGTGAGAGGCCCAGAGGGACTGTCATTGGCAAGACCAGTCAATATAGAAGAAGTAGCCCATGCTCTCTGCTCCCCACCCATTTCATGGAGGGTGGGGAAGATGGGCAAGGTGCTGGTTCTGGGATTTATCTGAACCCTTAGAAAAGTCAGAAGGAATTTTTCCTAAATTTAAGAAAAGACCTTTTCTTTAACTCAACTCTAGCAAGGGAAGAGGCTTCCCTCTACCCCAGATGCATATTTTTTCCCTTCGAAATTGTCCATTAGCCTTTGATCCTGTGTAGAAAAGACTTACGGCCTCATACATTTTACTGGCTGATACTCCCACTAAACTGTGAGCTCCTTGCAGGCAGGGACTGTGTCATTCATCTGTATATTCCTAACATTCAGCCCAGTGTCCTGCATGTAGCAAATGCAATAAATGCCTGTTGAATGAGTGGATGAATAAATAGATCAATCAGTCAATCACTGGGTCATCACAGGGTTTTGATGGATAAATGTAAGCCCTATAACAATGAGAACAGCAAGAGCTCTAAAAAAAAAAAAAAAAAAAAAAACCTCCCCCACCTGATTTCAAAATCACAGCATCTTTCATGAAAGTTCAGACACTCCACTTTGCGATGACAGGGTGAGAATCAGCCCAGTCGGCTCTGTGGGTCGGCACTGTGAGGCCTACAATGTAGAAAACTAGGAGATAAAAACCAAGAAGAAGACTTCCAGAGTTATTTTGAAGCCAGAAAATGTTTCTTCTCTTTCATCTACATTTTTCTAGACCCTTTACTTTGTCCTCCCACTACTTTTAAATGGATACCACTGGAAATGGGTGAAAAGATTTAGAATTTGAAATGCATGGAATATGGGTGAATACAGAATGCTTTAAAACTTTATCATTTTTACCCTGGGTCTATTGTATAAATAGATATTATTATTGACCTCTGCTCTCGAGCATCTATTCCACCCCACCTCCCACCTAACCCACAGCCAATGAGAGAGCCTTTCATGACATGATGAATGGGCCCAGAATTAGAAAAAGAAAAAAAACACTAAGAAATATTCTACTTCTTTTGTATCCTCTGACTCCTGATGGGGGTTTCCCTTCTCCTCCTTCCCCACTTCTTCTGAAAGGCTCCTAAGGAGTTAAAGTATAACTAATACCATTCAATCACTTTTGTCTGTTTGATAAAGAAAACTCATAGGTCAGCTCCGTGGTCTTAATTCTTGATCTCATCATTTAGACAGCCTTCCTTCCCAGTAACTCTCCCTGGCTTCCATCCTCATCATCATGATGGACCACATTATCTAGATAGCTTATGTGGCCTAATGGAGTTGACCACAGGTACCAAAAACACTTCTCTGTCCACTCCTTTTCTCTTCACTTTCACCTGAGAGCCTAACTCAATTTTTTAAATTCTTCAAATTAGTCTTTGTTTGGTAGGCAGTTTTCTTGCTCATTGTGTTTTATAATATAAGTGAATATGCCATTTATCTTGATGAAGAACAGGCCCTTTTCAATGGGGTACCATAATACTAAGATGGTATGTTGTAGGAATTGTTTCTGCTGGTGTTCTTAAATGTATGCAGTTAGGAATCTACCTAACAAAGCTGGACTTAATCTTCCTTTTGATTAATTTTCTATATCTTTCCCTGTTAATGTTACTGAATATCAAATGGACAGCTACGTCCTCATCCTATGACTAATATTTACATGTGTTTGCCCCAAGAGAGACACTCTGGGTTTGGGTAAATTTTGGGCTTTTCTGGGATTCTGCTTCCAGTCTTAATGGTTCGGATGTCTAAATGGTCACACCAGACACTCAGACCACCAGAACTTGCTGCTGCTTCTGTCATTCCATTTACAACTGTGGAAGCAAAACATCCCCCCTCCTGCCTCCCAAGTTGACCAAGTTTATCTTGATAAGTGGACTAGTCACATTAAAATAGGTTCTTTAGGAACTGACCAGATCTTTGAGACAGATGGCTTTACATATATGTTTGTTCCTATGGCATATACCTAGAAAAAGTTGTGTACAGACCTCCAAAGTACAAATACTAGGCAGTTTCCTGACTAACCACTGTCTGGTTTCCTGCCTGTTTACATTGTCCTAAGAAATTTTCAGGCCCACTCGATGATCTGCTACCTTCATGTCTATTTCCCCAAAAGCAAGTGCTGGCTGTAGGCAATGCTGTCTTAACTGGGAAGGGCTTTGCAGTCCCCCCAAAATACAGCACCCCAAAGAAGCCACCTCTCTTAAAACAAAACCTGAGAACATTGTTACAAAACTGGTAAAAAGGCTTATTTCTTTCGAGAAATCCCTTCTCCTTGTGAACTCTGCTTGAACCTAAAAAGCAGGAACGGGTCATAAATCACTTGGACAATGGTCAACTGTTCAGTGGCTCATCTTTTCGACCCCCCCCTTTTTTAAAGGCTTTCTTTTCTCGCCCTTTGGTACCTTTGCTCATTTGGGCTCCAAGATCCAAATGCCTTGGGGTGAACACGGGCCGGTGTAGGGGGAGGGGCGGTCGAGCCGAGCTCCACATTTCTTCGAAGTCCTGAGCTGCCTTTTTTCTCCCTTCTCCTCCTCTCCATCCCCTAAGCCCGGGAAACCGGCCCAGGCCATGCCCTGTGTCTCCTGGAGAAGGGGCGCCAAATGGGGTCTGGCTCGCCCTTTCTTGAGGTTCCGGGAAGTTGCCCAACTCAGCTCGGAGGCCCAGCCACAGGCCCGGAATACAGTGCCAAACGGTCTCCCATCGGAAAGGAGGCATCCTCTGAGCGACCACCACCCGCTCCCTGGCCGTGCTTGCCCGCTGTGCCAACGAAGCAGCCCAGCCCTGATACTTGCTCACTGCACTTAATTCTGCCCGGGATCAATACCTAATATGATACCGAATAAATAAAGGGCGCTCACAGCGGCCAGGGGACGGGGTTATTAAGCAGCTGGAGCTCTGACGGTGCATATCAATGCACCTGTCATTGTGGTTTGTAACAAAATTTATGACTGCGACCACGGCGGCAGTAAACGCTTCAGTAAGGAATGAAAAGAAAAACACTTCCCAAGGCCCGGCACTTTTCAGAAGTGGAAAGCAGGCTCCGCGTAGGAGGCAGCGCAGCAAAAGAATTCCCTACTCCGCACTTTTCCCGCTCGCGCACCCCGTGAGCAGCGGGATTATATAAAGTGGCCGGCGCTTGCCTCTGCTAGCAGCTCTGCTCAGCCACCGGAGTCAGGACGGGACACGCGCAGCCTCGCCGGGAACCGAAGACCTGCTGCCGCCGCGGCCTGGGACGCCAGGAGGCTCGCCGGACGCACCGCGCGGACACCGGCCTGGCGCTCGCTTGCCCGCTGTGGCCGTGGAAAGGCTGTAGGGAAGGGTTGGGAAGGGAGGGGGCAACAGGGGCCGGGCTGTGACTAGCGCTGCAATCGTCGTAAATCACGGATGGGTACAGTCAGTCTGTGCAAGTTGGAAGAGAAAGGGGAGGCAATGGAGTGCTAGTTGCGTCAGTTTCTCTCAAAATTCTCTAAGGTTTGAGTCGGTCTCGGCGACTCTCCCTGTTAACCGGGGCCTCAGAAGCCCACGTATCTCTTTCCCAGACTCTTGCTGGGCATCCTGTTAATTCACTGGAACCGAGCAATGATTCGACCTTCCATGTTGGCTTTGCTAATTTAGGATTTGGAAACCAGTCCTTTTCCAGTTGCTTGGAATGGGATTTATTTACGTTCTGCCCAAGTTCTCCTGATCTCAGCCTGAGCCTTTTCTGCTCTATGGGAATCCCTGAGCGCCCTTCTAAATCACCCTTATTTAGCACAGATAACTCAATACTGAAATGCACCCTGCATTTAAGGCACTGGGCTCATCCCATTAAAGCGCCATAAATTTGAAGGCCGATGAGCGGTTATCTTGTAACGGGCGGCAGTTCACACTGAGGTGATCCACTTCAAAGCCGCCCTTTGTTTTACGTTCTGATGTATGAATTTTGACATGGCTACCCTGAATTGCAGTACAGATGGAAATGTAGTGGAAATTATTTTTTATAATTACACCCACTCACCACAATTATGTATGTGTGTGTTTTCTTGAATTTTGTCTCTTTTTGTAGGCTCTTCTGGTTTCTTTTGATATTCTGTGGAGGCGGATCTGGAACAAAATGGAAAACTCTCAGTAGCAGCAGTTTCTTTCTTACAAACAATATGTTGAGAGGACCCCCTTTAAGGGTATCATAATCAATGTGACTATTGTATATGGTGCCCTCGGCCATCCAGAGGCCTTCTCCCTAGTAGGAAAGAGACTCAGTTGGCTCTCAGGGAGCTAGAGGCTGTTAACACCAAGATCCTTGGCTGGATGGAGGAGAGGAGAGCCCAAACCTGAGGGAAGAGCCAGATCCTCTGGCCAGGGGATGAGCAAAGTAGGTCAGAGGAGCAGGGAAACAAGTCCACCCTCCTCCTGCTCCCACCAAGCTCTAAATGCCCCAGGGTCCCAATCCCAGAGGCTAAACCCACCATGCTAGGAGAAGAAGAGAGACTGTGCAGAATAAAGGTGGGAGGGAGGCTACAGACTGAGGCACCAGGAAAGGCTGGTAAATGTGCCTGAATGGATCTAGTCAGGGCTGCCCCACAGAGCCTCAATGAAGAGGGAGCTGGGTGCTATTTCCAGGTTTGTACATTAAATTTCTACCTCGGATGCTCTCCCTGAGTTTATTTACTCCTGTAAGTATCCACACACTTGGCCTGGGCTGCCCACTACTGGGTCAGGATCAGGCTGCAAACCACCTAAGAAACAAACATCCTTTCTACCTCCACCCAAAACCACCGACCAAGGGGCCCAAGCAGTGACACCATTCGGGGGTGGGGTCCCTGCCCTGGCAGGTGAAGGGAGAGGGACAGAGTCCCGCTCTTGCATCTGCCCTGTGCAATTTGTCGACTCAGTAGTTTGCAAACACTAAACCGCACCCGGGAAAGCCTCACACAAAGCGTTCAGGGCACTTCTAAAGACCACAGCGCACAGCCATAAGCCTTTGAAGTGACCTTTGGCTCGAGCCACAATAACTCACCCCTTAATGAACACCCAACGGAAGCGCCTCAGAGAGATCCCAGCCCGGTAGGGCTCCTAACTTCGCGCCCCAGCTTCAGCTTCCCCGCCACCCGGGCCCAAGGAGCAAGCCGCTCTCCCGCCCCCACCCCAAGCCCGCTTGGCTGGCGGGGCCCTGAGGGTGGCGTGGCGGAGGCGCAAGGTAGCGGCATCTCAAACCAGCGGGTCCTGCAGCTGCTTTGTATAATACATTCACGTGGGCGGACGTCAGCTTTCCTTGCTTATTATTTATTTATTTATCTTTAAAAAGGGGTTCTTTAGTAGTAAGAGCATCCCCTCTAAAGATCTAAGGTGAGAGGCCAGCTAGGGCCACAATACCCTGACGCCTCTAGCTAGATTTTGTTTTCCAGCCACGGAGAAACATGGTAAGTTTGTTCCTGAGCATTCAGGGGGGCCTGGTGCCCTCTTGGCTTGGGAAGGGGGAAGGAAAAAGGACCCCAAGTTGGCCAAAGTTGGATTACCAAAAAAGCCCCCAGCACTTTCTCCCACGTTCCTCCCCTGCCCACCCACCATCCTACATGAGCCCAACTTTAGCCCTTTGCTTGCCCAGAATCTTGGCCTTAGCCTGGCTGGCTCTGGGCCACCAGCACTAGTACCCTTTCCAGAGCCAAAAAACGGGGGAGCAGTAGAGAGCCGCGTCTGCCAGCTGTCAACGAAGAGCCGGTTCCAGGCAGCCCCAGCCCTATCGCCCATCCCCCAGCAGCACCCCGGGAAAACTCTTTAGGATAGGGCCAGCACGCACGGAGCTTTGGTGGGGATTATTGAAATTTTCGGGGAAGTTATAAGTGAGTGCTCCATGGGGCCAAATGAAATGCTGCTCGCAGTAATTGGATTCAGCTGACTAAGCTGGCAGGCGCGCAGCTCCAAGGCAGCGAGCAAAGAAAAATGTCCAGCGACTTTAAGTTTTGATGGAGCCAGACATAGGCGACTGAGGAAACAACTTTACTGCTCTCCTTTGATGGCAATGTCCCTAGAAGTCACTCCCTCTCCCACTGGGGCCTGTCCCAACCTAGGTTAAGGGAGTGCTCCTTGCTTTGGGGGTTCTTTCCCTACAGAGGTCGAGTCCGGTCTGGCCCAGTGGCGTTTGCTTGAGCTTGGAGCCACTCACTTGGGCTCATGGACCTGCTCACTCCGGCCTTGTCCCCCAAAGACCCGGGATGGGATGTCTTCCCTCCGCCAGCCAGGAACCATAGGGAACAAGCAAACAAAAGAATAGATTGGATTCAGGAACCAATATATGGTTTCATTTTCACTCAGAATTCTTTGGGAAAAAGGACCCAGAAACCCTAAATCTTTTCTCTGCCACTATGGCAGTCAGAAGCCTAGATTGGTGGGGGGAGTGTGGAGGAGCCTCCCAAACTCTTCTGGGTAGTTTGGGGTTCTTTTGAATTTGTAAGGAAGAAGCTCAGTAGCATTTTAACCTCTCAAGAAAAAAATATTAAGCCACCAGCAAGAGGTAAAGCCCTCTTGTGTGTAGCTCACTCCCAGAACAATGCAGGGAGCTGGCTAGCCACCGAGTTTATTTTAAATACATATAAATCAACCCGCCTGTGCCCAGCCCGGCAGCCCAAGACACAAAATTAATATGACGCTCCATCTTACTTTGGCAGTGACAGTGTAAAAAAGTTTTTTTTATTCATTTCATTTTTCAGCCTATTCTTATAATTGCATATTTACCCCCAAGATACTTCCTCCTGCCCCCAATCCTTCACCAGACCCCTTCCTCAAACTGCTACTACCACCCCCATGCCGCCGGCCACCCTCCAAGCCTGGCAGGTAGTGTCCTCCTAACCTTTTGGTAGGCGGGGAACGTCCCCACAAAGCGCGCCTCGTTACGATTAATCACCATCCTCCATGTATATGTAGAAGTGTATCTAGGTCTACGCGGGCTGCCTCACCAATTGGCAATAATCAAGATCACAGATTACACAAAATAAATCATATTTAGTATCCCACTCAGGGTAGCAAGCCGCCCCGTGCCCAAAGATTTCCATTTTGTCATGCAATTGCTTACCTGGATCCCAATTTATCATAAACCTGGTGTCCTCGGCCTCAGACTGGGCTCCAGTGGGGGGCAGAGCTAGCCTTCCCCCTTTGTCTGCAGACAACACTGTCCCAACCCTGGTCTTGCGCGCTCGCAGACGCGGCCATATACCCGAGCATACGGAATTCCCGGTAGAACGGAACCAGGCTGAGGTTCAACTACCAATAAACGCAGGAGGAACGAGTTCGTAGTCCCCGAGCTGGCTTCGCCTGCGCTGCGCGCCCGTCGGTCACCCGCCCGCCGGTCCGCTCTCAGGCCCAGAGCGGCGGCCACCCGCGTCCCCACCCACTCCTGGGTTTCTGCCCAGCCCTCCCAGGCCCCCCAGAGCTCGGGATTTGTTTTGCTTGCGGAACGTGGTCCTTTCTGGATTTGGAGAGAGCCCCGGAAACCCCTTCATAGTCGGGAAATACAGACGCTGCCTTCAAATGCGAGCATATTTGTTCACGTGACCCCGAGGGAAGATTGTACTGATTGAGGCTGAAACTTTCACGCCATCCAGCCCCGGAGCACAGCCAGGCCTGGGGGCTGGGAGGAGGGGAGCAGGAGGCTCAGCCCCGGCCCCTTCCCTGGGGCAGATTAGGCTGGGTATGGGACGCAAGGAAAGAACCCTATCTCGAAGCTCCGGACGGACTCGGCCCCGGCCTGGCAGCCCCGCAGTAGGATGGGGGCGTTGAGAGTCTCTACCCACAATGACCTCTGACCCTAGCCGGGCCTTCCTCCAGATTGGTCCGGGGGTTGGAAATTTTGCAGGCCGCCTCCAGAGGTCCGCAGAGATGGCTGTGGAGCAGCAGAGGCCCAGGGTTCCCCTAACTCCCCGGCTGCGCCCCGTACTCCGCATCCACACGCACCCGGGCAAGGCGCCCTCTCTGCCTCCTAGGCCGACGCCCCGCTCTCCCCTTCCCTGGGCGAGGTAATTACGTTGTGGCAGGGCACGGGATCTAAGGTGGAAGCCACCAGCTCTCAGCCCTGGCCTGTCACCTCAGGGAACCCCCGCCACCATCCCCACTCCGTGGGGCCTTGGCTCCTTCCGCACTCAGCAGCAGCCGAGTCTTCGCTACTTCTGAGCTACAGAGGACGCCTAGCAGGCGGCTGGGACCCAGAGCGACCTCTCCTCTCTTGCGCCCTGAGTACTCCAACCGTGTCCTTCGAGGCCTGGAGCCGCCTGGGCGCTGAGCCGCTGCCCGCTGAAGATCCGGGCGGTACTCGCGGATCCCGCAAGCCCAGTGACCGCCCGGCGCGGCTTCCCGCTTCCTGCGGAGCCTACTGGAAGGCGAGGAGGACTGCGGAAACAGTCCTGGCAGGGCTTACCTGGGGGACAAGGAAACTTCTATTTTAGAAATATTAAATCAGGACCGGTTCCCACCACTTTCGGAGTAGTCGGGTGGGAATTCTGCATGTGGAAAAAATTAAGCGAGCCTGGGCCGGCAGCTGATCTCCAGCTCCTGGCTTGTATTGAACTCCCACAGCACTCCCTCAGCCAGGCCCCGCACTCCGGAATCCCGCACCACCGAGGGCTCTCCACCCCTTACCCCCAACCCCGTCACGGTTTCATCCCCAGCTCTGTTTCTTAACAGCATCAAGCATGGGACCCATGCCCTGTCGCTGCTTGCAGGGTCTTAGAACAGCGAAAGCGCCCAGCAGCCATAGATGAGCTGGGGAGGAGGGATAAGGTCCACCGCAGTACCACTCCAGAGGCGCAGGAAGGTCCCGGAGGCCGGGGTCTCGAGACCCGTCAGTAAGCCCCTCCTTTTGTTCACCTGGCCGGGCCTGGCCAGAAGCCCACTCGGCGTTTTGGCGTTTTTCCGGGGGTGCCCCCAGTCCACCCCCACCCGGAGGACCCCGCCTCCTAGCCTCCTGCCAGGGACCGAGCCGGCAGCCCGCAGCAAGTGTTAATCCCCAGCCAAAGAGGGGGGCTGCTTTGCGGGAATTTGTCTCTAGGAAAGGATCTAAGCCTTCTTCAATCGGAGCATATGTTCATAGAGCAATAAACCGGAAAGATTT